AAAAAAAAAAAAAAAAGAAAGAAAGAAAGAAAAGAAAAAAAAGAAAGAAATGAGACTATAACCAATAAAAATATGAACAGCATATATAAACAGAGAATTTACCCAAAAAATACAATTGCCATTTAAATATATTAAAAGATTCTCTATAAGAGCCATGAAATTTTATCTTGCGATGAGATACCATTTACACTATCAGATTGTCAGAAATCAAGAAATTTAACAGCACTAGTGTGCTATCGAACACGTTATTTTCATACATTGCTGATGGGAGACAAAATTGGTAAAACTCCTGGGGAAGGCAATTTGGTAATACTAACCAAAATCATTTTCAAAAATTGCTGGTGGCATGAAAATTATAAAAATCTTTGTGGGAGGAAGGGAATTTGCAAAATTTTATCTTTCCAAATGAAAAAAATGCACACACTTTTTAAACTTGACACTTGCATCCCTAAGTATTTATCATACAGATATGCAAGAGGGAAATACAGTATGCTTGCATATCAATAAAATGTTAAAGGACTGGTTAACTATATCTTCATATACATCCCTCAGGCATACTATGAAACTATCACTATGAGGCAGATACTTACGTGCTGCTATGGAAAGATTTCCAGACTGTATCAAAGAAAGTTGCAAAATAGTAGGTATCTCATAACTGGGTTGAAATATATACTTTAAATATTACATATATACACACGTTAACTATAGAATATCTTGTGAAATTTTTCACAAAAAACTGGTAACCCTGGTTGCCTTGAAGGAAAGAGGAAAGGCGTGAATTCACTCTAATAACCTTGTTTCTTCTGAATTTTGTAGAATGTAAACCTATTACTTAAAACGCACACACATTTTTATATTAATAGAAAACAAAAACTGAGGCCCAAAGGCATCTCCCTAATTGACAAAAGATACAACCTTGCGTTCTTTCAGCAAACGTTTATTGCTCATCTGGTGACAGGTATTGTGATGGAAGCTAGTGCAGAAGATCCCCCAAAGACCAGGAGCGCCCGACGCCTGTCCCCAGGGTGAGCCCCTAGTGCGGGGCGGGGACAGGGTGGACAGAGTAGGGCGCAGGGCTGGGCTCGCGAGGCTCCCCGCCGCGCGGAGGCGGTAGCAGGACCCAACCGATCTTAACGGTCCAGGGACCAGGACAGCGTCTGGAATTCAATCTTCCCGAGCAAACTGCCGCCTGTAAAGACCAGCTCCCTTCCTCGCCCCCACAGAAACGCCCCCGGATTGGGCTTTTACGCTGTCGCCTTGATCCGTTTTCCCGAATCCCCAGGGAAGGACAGGCCCCTGGCGCCCCCACGGTCCGCAACCCCCTCACCACGGCGGTCGGAGCTCGGGTCTCTCCTGCCGCTGTTTCGGGCCACACGGTGTGTCCGTGCCTCCTCCGCAGAGGAATAGAAGAGTGGGTCCTCGCTCTCTGCGGCGCAGTGCCTGTCCCTTGACCTCCTCTCCATCTACAAAGCCTATTTCATGTTTTCCAAAACAAAAAAACGTTTTCCGTGTCTCTTGAGTCCCGGTCGCCACATGCGGGGCAGGACCGAGCTACGCAAAAGATCTCAAGAGAAACAACGGACGGAGCATCGCCCATGATGAGGCTGCTCTACCGATGGTCACTGAGTTGTGTTGTGGCACTGTCTTGGTACAAAGACACCAATTTTGTGAGAACGGTGATACGCATGATTCAACGCTCTCACGCCTTGGTCCCAGCAGCTGGAGCGCCGATTTTTCCCCGGTGGGTTAGCAGGTAGAAAACTCCTCGATATGGCCGGGCGCGGTGGCTCAAGCCTGTAATCCCAGCACTTTGGGAGGCCGAGGCGGGTGGATCACGAGGTCAAGAGATCGAGACCATCCTGGTCACCATGGTGAAACCCCGTCTTTACTAAAAATACAAAACATTAGCTGGGCATGGTGGCGCGTGCCTGTAATCCCAGCTACTCAGGAGGCTGAGGCAGGAGAATTGCCTGAACCCAGGAGGCGGAGGTTGCGGTGAGCCGAGAT